AAAATTGCCACCATTAGCAGATGACATGATATTATACTTAGAAATTTCTCCTAGGGAGTCCATCAAAATGTTGTCAGGAAAGTTGCAGGACACAAAATCAACAAATAAAAATCAGTTACATTTCCATATACCACTAACAAACTATCAGAATGAGAAATATATATATATATATATATATATATATATATATATATATATATCCCATTTACAACTGCATCAAAAAGGGTAAAATACCTAGGAGTAAATTTATCAAGGATGTGAAAGACCCTATACATTAATAAAGGGCTGTACATTAATTAAAAATTAATGAAAAAAATTTGAGAAAGACAGAAATAAATGGAAAGATATTCCTTGCTCATGGATTAAAGAATTAATATTGCTAAAATGTTCAACTATCCAAACCAATCTATAGATTCATTCCATTAGAATGAACACTTATAACTAACTTAGTATTATATGTCAATTATATATCAATAAGAATAAAATGAAATAATAATAGTCACTGTACTAACATTAATAAAATTTTTTAAAAAATAAACAGCGACTTATATTCCAAAAACAAAAAAAATTTACTGAGGACAGTATCATCATTTTGCATTTTTACAAAATTCCTTTAATATATGCTTAATATAAGATAACTGGAATCTCATATCTGCTTCTGTATTCAATCTGCTGCATGTCACATAACCTTAGGAAAATTCATGCACATACTCATAAAAGAAAAAAAGTGGAAAAGGAAAACAGTATATTAGTAGTATCATGAATATAGTTTGACCTGACAAACAACTTAAAAGGAACACCACAAGACCACACCTACAGAACCACTCTTCTTAGAATTGCTCTCTTTGCCACATTCAACCTCACCACAATCATTCCAGAGAGGTAAAGACCTAGCAGAGTCATTTCTGCTGTATGACTCTTGCCATGTGTCCACAGATGACTAGTTGAATGGTAGAGAAGGAACTCAAGAAGACTCAAACCTACTTCTCCCTAATTAAGTTATAATTAAGATAGAAGGATAATTAGTCCTTTGTCCAGCTGGATGTGTAATATTTAAACATGAAACCGTGTGGCTTAAATTTTCAGCACATCATGTAGATTGTGTAGGGGGGAAAAAGCCACTCTGGAGAGAGAAAACAATAAGGCAAAGGACTGAATGAAGTAGGAGCCAAAATCAGATAATTTGGTAATGCTAATAATTTGGCATCACCTGCTCCACATCATCGTTTATGGCCTTTCTGCTTTTTGCTAGAATCAACACCTTCACATCCAATTATAGTGCTTCATTTTATATTGGTCTCCTCATGTTGATTTCTGACACTAAGCAGAGTCCTACTTAATACACAATGGTTTGCTTTATAGTTATAATTCCTTTGAAACAAACAATATAACTCTAAAAGGGCATTTTGAAGTCCTGTGAAACAGCTCTGAAATAAGTTGCAATTAAAATATTTATACATATATATATATATATATATATATATATATATATATATACATACACACACACACACAGTATTTCCTTAGATGTACTGTTTGATTTCCTCCTAAAATTCTCACAGGCTAAAAGCTAAACACAAATATGCAGCATTCATTGCTTTAGAAATACCTAAATTATGTCATTCCTGATGGTCATCTTACATTTTTTTAAATATTTTATTTATTTATTCCTGAGAGACACAGAGAGAAGCAGAGACATAGAGAGAAGCACGCTCCCCAGTGGAAGCCCGATGTGGGACCCAATCCCGGATGGGGATCACACCCTGAGCCAAAGGCAGACAGATGCTCAACCACTGAGTCACCCAGGCATCCCTCATCTTACATGTCTCAAAAAGAAAATAAAAAAAATCAATAATTATTTTCTAAAATGTAAACGTTCACCTGATATATGAGAAAAGGTAATTTAAGATTAAAACTCAATATAGGATTAAAACTCAGAAACAGTTACAGTAGGGACTAGATATAGCCATGTTAATATGAACTTAGCTCTGATCTGAGGAGAAAAGACATGAATTAAATGGCATTTCTTCTAGAAATGGGATGTATATATTTATTTTTATGGTTAACAAGGATCTTTCAAAATGTTTTCTAAAAGTAATATTTGTTGATGTGGTTTACGTATACAATGGAATATTAGCCATTAGAAACGACAAATACCCACCATTTGCTTCAACATGGATGGAACTGGAGGGTATTATGCTGAGTGAAGTAAGTCAATCGGAGAAGGACAAACAGTGTATGTTCTCATTCATTTGGGGAATATGAATAATAGTGAAGGGGAATATAAGGGAAGGGAGAAGAAATGTGTGGGAAATATCAGAAAGGGAGACAGAACATAAAGACTTCTAACTCTGGGAAGTGAACTGGGGGTGGTGGAGGGGGAGGAGGGTGGGGGGGTGGGGGTGAATGGGTGACGGGCACTGAGGGGGACACTTGACGGGATGAGCACTGGGTGTTATTCTGTATGTTGGTAAATTGAACACCAATAAAAATTAATTTATTAAAAAAATAAAAATAAAATAAAAAAGAAATGGCATAGAAAAAAAAAGAAACGACAAATACCATTTGCTTCAACGTGGATGGAACTGGAGGGTATTATGCTGAGTGAAATAAGTCAATCGGAGAAGGACAAACATTATATGTTCTCATTCATTTGGGGAATATAAATAATAGTAAAAAGGAATAGAAGGGAAGGGAGAAGAAATGTGTGGGAAATATCAGAAAGGGAGACAGAACATAAAGACTCCTAACTGGGAAACGAACTAGGGGTGGTGGAAGGGGAGGAGGGCGGGGGTTGGGGGTGAATGGGTGACGGGCACTGAGGGGAGCACTGGACAGGATGAGCACTGGGTGTTATTCTGTATGTTGGCAAATTGAACACCAATAAGAAATAAATTTATTATAAAAAAACATGGTTTTGTCTAAGGAAAGGTCTAAAAAATAAAAAATAAAAGTAATATTTGTTGAACATAACTTCACTTGCCTTGAATTGTGTGAGTTCTTCACAAACATTATCATTTAATTCCCACAACAATCCAACAATGAAAATAATGATCTTCATTTTACAGATATGGAAAATAAAGTTCAACACTATTGCTTGAGATTGCATGGTTTAAAATTCACAGAGATGGAATTTGAACCCATATATTTAACTTCAAAGTCCATACTTTCTCCTGTAAACCATGTTGAACTCATGATTTGTATAACTGAAATATTAAACTCAGTTGGAGAAAATCAATCAAATAAAAACAAAGCACACAAAATCTCAAGTAAATAAGAATCTACATACCCATCTTTTCAACAATTCTGTTACCTTGCACAGAGGCTGAATAATGCCAAGCATTCAATAAATATATATATTTTTTAATTTACAAGTACAGGAAGTGAATTTGATGTATTGCTGAGAAATCATAAATGTGATCAGGTAGAAAAGAATACTGAAATTTTCAGATAACTTTTTCTATTGGGCAAACTTTTGCTTCCCTCATCAAGTAATATAAATGATCATAAGAAAATTCCTTCACTCTTCATTAGCATTTATATCTAAATGTATTCCCTGATCACAGCTCTTGAAAAAAATATGAAATACTGTTCAGATTCTATTAAAATTTGTTGAAAATATTTTATACCAAATGATATACTAGAAAGTTTACATATATCATTTTATTTGATCCTCATTACAAAAGAGGAGAGTAAAGTATACAGATAATAGGTAAATCTCTTACAGTCAGTAACTGTAAACTCAAAATTAGAGCATAGGTCTACTAAATTCTGTGTGATTTTCATCACAGCCATGGCTTCCAAAGTGGGGTCTATGCACCCAAGATGTATACAAGATCATCTACTAGCATGAAAAGAAATTATTAAAAGTTCTATTTATATGTACAATAAATAGAAATTTATCACATAAATTCAATGCTGTATACTGTATATATAGCATTAATTCTTACTTTTCCTTTATGACTTAAAATTATATGAGTATAGTAGAACAAATATATAACTTCTACATAAATATATATTCATTGAAAAAATATAAGCAAAAATATATTGTCAATGGCAGTCACAGTCAAAAACTACCTTATACCATATGGCCTTTCTATGACAGGTCATTCTGTTCAAAGCACAAAATATACATACTCATCCAAACCCAGAATTAAAGGAAGAAATTTTATAAGATCTTTGTCTACAGCCAGCAGATGCTAAAACTTGACATAGACTGACCTTGTTATGCCCCTCATAGCTATAAACTAGAAATCCTCTGCCTGGAAATTCTAACTCTAGACCTTTCTTCTGGGAGATTTCAATCATAAGTACCTGTAGTCCAGGGCTGCCATACCTTCATCAACTTAGGTTTCTAGCTTCTCCATTAATAGGTCAAATTGGTTCAAAAAGGGTTGGCTGGTACTCCAATAAACACAATGTATGATATCAGGAATAAAGGAAAGTTTAAAGAAATAGAAGAGCACTTACCTCAGATATTTTAGAAGTCTTTCCAAGTCTTCCCTATCAAAGGGAAGCATAAACATAGCAGCTGATTAAAGTCAGTTCATTAAGCCCTACTTGTTAAAAACAAAAATGGCTAGTTACAAAGCAGAACCCAAGTAAATGGCAAGAAATCAATTTAAAGGAAGTAAAACAGGCAGCAGAATATTATCAGAAAAAACTAAAAGAAATATGAAGGAAAAAATAAAATGTTTCACATCAGTTCAAACTGAATAGCCTATTCATAATAGCAAACTCTTCCAAGGCTAAGAAGGGAAAGCCCTGTTCAGTTTATTTTTTTAACTTACTTTTTACTTTTTCCCTGTTAAGTTTAAACCATCCTAAAATATATAAGACTACAATTAATGCTGATAGTGTAAACTGGTAAAACATTGGAAAAGTTAGGAATAAAGCCCAGCAGGCCAATTTGGGGCTCCAACAATGCCAAACCTCCAAAAATCTAATTATTATTTTATTATATCTGCTGCTATCACAAGGCAATAAAAATAAAGCCTGTAGTGCTTGCTTTGTCAGCATATATACTAAAACTGAAACAATACAAAAAAGATTATTGTAACCCCTGTGCAAGGATGACATACAAATTCTTAAAATGTTTCATATTTTTCTAATTTTTAAAAAAAGGAATTTAAGAAGGATGAATCAGGAGCTAATGGGATTAGTTACCTATAGGGGCTAAGTGGGAACAGAGTGGAGGGATTGTGGAAAGGGTGATGACTCTTTTCTGAATATATATTTATATGTAGTTTTGACATTGACTGAATCATGTTGTTTTTATGTACACAAAAAATAAAATTTAAAACACTAGGAAAATAAAACTTCAAATAACAGAGACATAATATAACTATATCCCAAATTAAAAAAAAAATAACTACACTGAAGAGAAAAAATAGAACTAACCTGAGTAACTTTGGAACAGTACTTTGACTCTATACCCTGAATCTGAAGCCAAAGGGGGGGAAAAAAAAACTATAAACAAATACTAAAACTCTAGTTAGAGGGTCTGTTTTTGATGGTAGTATGAGTTTACAATTCTTTTTTTCTTAAGATGTTTTATTTATTTATTCATGAGAGACACAGAGAGAAAGAGGCAGAGGGAGAAGCAGGCTCCACACAGGGAGCCCGATGCAGGACTCGATCCTGTGTCTCCAGGATCACACCCCAGGCCGAAGGCGGCGCTAAACCGCTGAGCCACCTGGGGCTGCCTGAGTTTACAATTCTTAAACTACCTTTTGTGCATTGTAGAACTAAGCAAATGATTAAATATTTAGAGGATTAAATAAACTAAATCTCTTACTGTTGGAGAAGGGAGTTACAAATATGGAAAGAAGACTAGAATGAATTCCATGGTGTTGAATTGCAATGAAAGTAGTTAGTATAAACTCATGCTTTGAATGGATGAATGGATGATAGATGATAGATAGATAGATGATAGTTAGATGATAGAAATAGTAAGTGGATATAGTTCTATTTAAATTTTTTAGTATTGCCTGTTAAGAGCCAGAAGGAAAGACACCATCTGCAAGGAATACATCCTAAATCCTGATCTTGGTTTTTAATATACCATCCCTCATTAAATCTTGATCTTGGTTTCTAAATACCATCTCCCATTAAAAGAAACTGGCCTCACTGGAAATATAGTTGACTCTTAGTGTTGAGGCAAGGAAAGTAAAAAGTGAGCCTGGGACATCTTGTAGTTCTTGTAGTTTCCATCTTGTAAAACTGTGCTTTAAAAATGATGGAGGTAAGCCAAAAAGACATAGATTTCAGTTTGAGGGTTTCTACTCACTAAATATGAAATAAACCGAGTGTTCAAATAACAGTAGTAACAGAATATTCATAGGATAAGAAGAAATCTGAGTCTATACTTCCATAAAAAAACAAATGAATAGGTAAAGTAATGGGAGAAGGAAAAATTTTCCTTATATTACAACTAGTAAATGGAGAAGAAATAATAGTTATAAAATTAACATTTGGCAATTGTAGTTTATCTAAATATAGCCAATTGTCCTTCAGAAAGCCTGATGAGGATAAACATCAAATTAGTGGCACCCAGACAGGTAGGATAACAAGAGCTACTTGTTTAGCAGAGAAATCAGCAAGCACATTGTCTTTGGCTTCTATGTTGATTTCAGAAATATGATCTTATGCTTCCACAACTGATAATTCCTCAGAATTTAATAACTTCTAATATGACATTTATCACTTCATTATTTTCCTATCAGATTATCTGAATGTGTCAAATCCCCTTTGCTTCCATAGCACCTCAAAATCATAAATCATGTGTCTATCATATGGTAAGTGTTTACCATTTTCCTTTTTGCCAGTATTCAGGCTCAACTCAAAATTATTAGTTTTGCCAGTTGGGAAAATAGAGCATTAGGCAATAAAGTTGATATAATGGCTGCATATTCCAGGATGAATACTTGTCCTGTATAGGAAATATCTGCCATTTTCAAGAAAAAGCCATTTATAAACAGTGAATCAGGATTCATTAAAGGAGTATTTGTAAGAGCAGTCCTAGACATACGTCCTGAGTTATAGCTAAATAGTTATGTAATTTTCCCTTTATCTGGAGGGATTAAGGTTTATACAATGTTAAATTGTGATATGAGAAGCAAAATGTAGGAGGGTTTTGTAAGCAGTAGAATAAATGACAAAGAAATTATGAAAGTTGCCTAAAAGAAACAGAGTGCACAGTACCATGGCTGAAATTACAAAGGAGATTGTAAATGCCATATAGGCATAGCCAAAGAGTCATTTGCTACCATGGTAATAGAGATCACTAAACTTTAAAGCACTTACTGGCCTCACAAGGGGTATCTGTTCTCTGGCTAATACATTCTGCTGTTTCTGGTTAATGCTTCAAGGCAAATAGGGAGAAGAAATCTCTTTAAAAAGCTGATTGGGTTTCAAAGAATAAACAAATTAAGTCTGAGTTTTTATTTATTTAGCTTTGACTAGGTCATATTGGAAGCTGATCTACATGAAATTTTCTAAATTATAATGATGGGATTTCATTTTTTCCATAATAATTATTTTTGCTTTCATTCAAGGAATTAGCAGGTGCTTTCATTATATCATGCAGCTGTTATCTAGAAAGGACACTGAAGTGATGATTCTGTGCCAAAAAGAGATAGAACACTTTATGGTCAGCCCTTCTCTGGATAAGCAGAATGATGAAAAGGAGTGATAATAAATCCTGACCTGACCACCCAACCTGCTGACAGCAGTACAGACCTAATTGCTACTGAAACGACTACTCAAGGTGCAATGATCCTGAAATGGGCACCTCACTTACAAAGCAACCACAGCAAAATACTGTAGTCTGGAAGTGTGTACTTCTTGTACACAAAAATAAATCACTTTCTAGAAGATCCAAAAACAGGCAGCTCTATACTTATCTAGGGCCTAACTAACCTGATCAGACCAAATAGGACAGCCAATCAGCAGCATTCAGATACTTTGATTTCCTAACATGGGATAGGCACTGGATTCCTCCCCCAAACCTTAACCCTAGAGCTTAGCTTTTGTGTTGGATTAGATTCCCTGCTTAACTCTCCATTTGGTCCAATAATCTTTAATTTTGTTCTTTAACATAATAAAGGAAGTAGCCTTATGGAAGCTAAAATCAAACTAAAGGAAACATTTGTAATATATGTCAGATTTTACTAATCTACAATCTGTTATGTTTTTTATTGTAAACAAATATATATTTTTGTTCTCAATTTTATTTTCATAATTTTTAATTATTTTTCTTAGAGGCAGTCTCCAAAACAATAAATTTCAGGCCTCACAAAACCTGGAGCAGTTGGCTATAATTCTGGTACATTTGAAAGTGATATTTTAACATTGCTTTTCCATGGGTTCAAATATGGTGAGGATGCCTGGATTGAGATGTTATTTTATCTGTGAGATCTTTCTCTGAGGACAACTTCTGAAAGCTGAATAGATAATTTCTGGTTGAACTCAGTTGCTTCCACTTTATAGTCCTAGGAAACTTACCTGGACAAATTAATATAATACCCTCTCTTTTTTAAAAGCTTTATTTATTTGTTTTTTAGAGAGGGAGAGAGAGAGAGAGGAAACACATGTGAATGGAGAAGCAGCAGAGAGGGTGGGAGAGAGAGAATCACAAGCAGACTCCCTGCTGAACATGGAGCCTGACATGGCGCTTGATCCCAGGACCTCAATATCATTTTGACCTAAGTCAAAATCAAGAGTTGGATGCTCAACCAACTGAGCCATCCAGGCTCCCCTATGCCCTCTTTTTAAGAAAAAAACTGTATACCTAAGTATGCAGTCCCTTTTCATTTTGGCTGCCAGGCTTCTGGTACCATTTCTGTGAAATTATAACAGTGAAATATCTGAACAAGTGCTGAGCCAAGGGTGTGGTAGAGTTGACGATACACGGCCCCTCCTTATAATCTAATGGGAAAGATAGAAATGCATGATGACAACTACCATGATAGAGGACTCTGCAGAGTACAGTGGAATAAAGTGTCCACATCTGCCTTCTGAATCTGTGAGGGTTAAGAGAAAGTATCTTTCACCTTTGAGATGAAACTTGTATTAAGAATTTAGCAGATCAAAAGGAAAGGCAGAGCATTCCAGGTAGAGGAAATCATTAGGAAAAGAAGTTAAAAGGAAAAGAAGTAAAGAGGAAGTAAATTAGGGAAGAAGTAAAAGGTGATAGAAATAGATAGACAGGGACACCTAGGTGGTTCAGCGGTTGAGCGCCTGCCTTTGGCCCAGGGTGTGATCCCGGAGTTCCGGGATTGAGTCCCACATTGGGCTCCCTGCATGGAGCCTGCTTCTCCCTCTGCCTATATCTCTGTCTCTCTGTGTGTAAAATCTTAAAAAAAAAAAAAAAAGGAATAGATAGACAGACAAGGTGAGATCATAAAGAACCAACATTGCACACTATCCAAGAGTTTGAATTCCACCAGTTGAACCATAAAACATCACTCAAAGTTCTGGAGGAAGAAAGGAATACAGATTTGCTTATTAGAAAGACAATTCTGACCCCAGAGAGGAGACCAAATTGAGGAAAACAAGACTAGAATTAGGAAATATGATAATTCCTCTTCCAGGTCTCCTAGCAGGTCCAAGGACCTCCCCTCTCCATGTTTCAAGTTTCTGTTTACCACCAGATTCACCCCAACTCTTGTCTCCCAAGACCAGTACTTGCCTACTATTACCCTACCAGTGCTTTATACCTTCAATTATACCTTTCATCCCACTACAATAATAGGTTATAAGACAAACTAAACATGTTTGACATTAGAAAAGAACATTGATCTGATAAATTCACATATAATGATGGTATTAGTAGCTAACATCTACTGAGTATAACTAGGTGTGATATAGTATGCTAAGCATTTTACATTTCATTTAATCTGCAAAATAAATATAGAATTATAGTGATGACTATTGTCACAATTTTACAAAGGAGGAAAAGATTAGGTAACTTTCATAATCTTCCCAAGCTCACACACCAAGTAAATAGCTAAGTTCAACTTCAAATCCAGGGGTATCTGACACTAGCACTCTTACCCACCATCCTATATACAGGGCTCAGAAATGACAAGATGGACACTGTCCCAA